CTGCAATTTACGCCTAAAATTTAATTTCATATTCAAAAAAAAAAATTATTTCAGGGTTTTAATTTTATTCCCAAGAAAAAAAGTTGAATACAGAATTATACTCGATTTTCTATTTTTTGAATTTCGCGCCAATCATCAAACAGCCTAGATGGCGTGAAAGTTCTCTCACAAGCGCAAAGTGTCAAATGGACTATAAATACCACTGCTAATATAAATCGAATAATTATCCCCTGACATTCTTTTTCCTCCCTTATCTCCTTTTCACCCTTCTTTTCCCCGAGAATAACAACAACAAAAATTTCTAAATAATTTTTTTTTCCGAAATAAGGGCAATTCTACAATGAATTCAAGAATTGACGACGACGCGAGGTCATCCCCTGATTTAGTTTTCTCTCTCTCTCTTAGGTTTCTCACAACTCTTTCTCCTTATTCTTTCCTCTGTCCGAAAAAGAGAGAGATTCTGGAAGGCTAATCACCACGCAATCACCGCTCCCGGTGAGGTCGACGCCAACCAGTTCTCAGAAAGTACCGCGCGCCGCCCCTGGGGGCATCGGCCACGTTGCAAAACCAACAATCTTCATCTTCCAATTCGCGGAGGAAAAGAGAGAAAAAAAAGACAAAAATCTAAGGGAATACTTCGTCTCTTCTACCGATCGAAACCGATCCCACAGAGAATCGCGCGACTAAAAAGGACTCCCGTCTTCGAAAATGAAGCAGAAAGAGGGGAAAAAAAAGAAAACGAAACGAGGTGATACCGAAGGTCGATGATCCATAAATTCTATTCTCAGGGAAAAAATTGAATAGCCTGGACTAAAAAAGTATAGAGAAATATAGAAAACGAAGAATATAGAAAACTGTGCATTAGAAAATTGAAAAATAGTCCAAATTTGTTACTTTTGACTACTGAAATTAACAGTTCGATAATAACCTTATTAACCTTTCTGACTAATTTTTAGTCAGAAAGACTAATTCGTTAACTACTGACTTGTTAAGTTCAAAAAATCGTTTAGTAAACGTCAATAACTAATTATTTGGTGAACAATTTTCTATAATTGGCATAGAATAATAAAACAATGTTCTATAATTGGCATAGAGTAACAAAACCATGTTCTATAATTGACAAAGGATAATAAAAAAAATGTTCCATAATTGACAAAGAATAATAAACCAATTTTTGATAATTAACAAACAATAATCAACAAACAATTTTTTTCAGCTACAATAATAATTGTGTCAAATGAATATGAGGGGATATTTGCCCTGACCTTGAATTAACTGGTGTGTGGTGGTATAATTACGAAACGAGAACGATGATTTAGCGCCATTCTGGTATATTTCATTGACGTTAAATCACGATTCGATTAACTTTGAAGCCCAGGCGAGAGCTTATCAAGTATCTTTACGCCTCTTCTTTATTTTCTACTTCCTCTCATCCATCTCGTTTGCGTTGTATTTTTTAACGGGTCTACAGACTACCTACGTGGGTGTTCGAGTACCTTTCTCGCACATTAAAATCGCGTGCTACACGAATTTCAACCAATACTCACGCGTACACACTTATAATATCCCAAAAATTCACGATTCATCATTCTCTAATTATTCACAATTCACTAATAACTAACATTTCACTAAATTATCAATTTTCTCCATATTCTACTTAAATTTTCTTCTTTTATTCATACATTCTTAATAATTTCACACAAAGTTTCTGAAAAAGAAAAGGAAAGTTTGAAAAAATTATTTTGCCCTAAAGATACTAAAGATACTAAAGATACTAAAGATACTAAAGGTACTAAAGATACTAAAGATAGTAAAAATACTAAAAATACTAAAGATACTAAAGATACTAAAGATACTAAAGATACTATCAAATATCTGACCTTTAGTAGATTCAACCAGAAAATACTATTCCAGAGGTTATTAACTTCACAACATTACAGGTCAAGTTAACATTTTTTTTACAATTGCAAATGATTTCGATAATAAAATGAATAGAAATTCTAACGATTCTGACAGCTTTTCTAAATTATAAAAAATTAATCCTCGATATATCAACTATAATATGATATCAACCGTTTATAAATAATATCAACCACCCATGTAGCATGTGCAACAACTTGTGAATAAATTATCCTCTGATTCTAGCTTTTATTCACCATGAATCACATAAATGGTACTTATTGCTACTTAAAATATAAAAAACAAAACAAAACAAAAAAATATTTAAAATTATTTCCCAACTTACCTCTTTTGTCTTCTTCACAAATCTTGAATGTAGAAATAAATGACGTCTAATTAGAATTAAATTTATAAATTATATTCCAGACGCATGCACAACCACAAGATCTTTTATGATATACACGTTCTAATGCTCGCACAACATGAATGTAATAAAGTGTTACACGTACATTTAGTGTAATTTATAACACACCGGGTTGTAAATACAATTACTCTCTTATAAACTCGACACTTTCACTTTTAGGCCGAATTAATAGGGCATACGTATATTATAAAGACCTGCGAGTCTCTCAATATAACAACAAATGTTGGGGAAACATTTTTTTTTCTTGTGCACGGGATCATAAATTCTCAATGCTCAATTTGACATTTTACATACATTTTATATACATTCAACCTCTGATCTTAATTTGACGAAAAATTTTATTTTACAAATGGCTTTTATTTATTGTTGCGAAAAGGTGAAAGAATTATTTTTAAACGGAAATTGAATTTAGAATTATTGTACCAGTGTTATTTATAGGTCACAATGTACAATTAGCATAATGATTCTGATTTTCGAAGAAGGGGGAAAAAAAGTAGTGACGCCGGGAAAAAAAGGATTGCGCAGGCGCATAGCGGCTGCGCGAGCCTTTTTTCCCCGGCGTCACTACTTTTTTTCCCTCTGACCCCACCTAGTCTGTAAATTTCAATTTTCTTCCCTTTTCCAAAACAATAAAAAAACATTTGTGTCAAAATATAACAGTAACTTTGTATTTTAAGACCCTTCTTTTTGTAGTAAACAAAATAATTTTATTGTTATTTCTCAAAGGCTAATTTTATTGTCAATAACAAATTATTGGTACTTAATAGCAATAAAATTAGGTGCTTAAAAAAACGACTATAGGTTTAATGGTTGTATAAAGTGCAGGTAGAGAAGTTGAAGCTAATTCTCGTCACAGTTACATGCGTATGAATGTAGTAAAAGAAGATTTATCGGACTTGGAAATGAAGCGACGAGTGGCTGTCATTTTCAATACGAAAACACTCTCATGTGAGTTCAATCGTGCGTAACTGATGTCTGAATCAGTTGCATGAATCGCAGTCTTGTGTATATGGCAAAAGGTGTATTAAAACACACACACGACAACCAACGCAACTTCCACTATTAATTCAATATACTTTATCCGCACGTACCGACAATTAACGAGCGTTAATTACCACATGTGGAGCTTTCCACCTTAGTAGACAAGATAAAGAAAATTTATGAAGCGTATATTCTTTTTTTTCGCCATTTGCTATATTATACCTACAAAATGTAGAAAACTGTAAACACAACTCTGAATTTTATGGATGGAATCAAATCGTCAAATATTTGTTTCGTTCAACTAAAATCACCTTCTGATAAAATCACTTTAATCAAGTATATAGTTTGGTATCAATTCGGTACAATTTGGTATTAATTTGATCCAATATGGTATATTAGTTTGATCCTAGGTTTGATCCTAGGTTTGATCCTAGGTTTGATCCTAGGTTCGATCCTAGGTTTGATTCTAGGTTTTATCCTATATTTGGTCTAAATTTGATGATCCAATTCGGTATCATCAATTCGATCCAGATTGTTATCATCATCAAAACTAATAGCTGATTTGTAATTGTAACCACTTGATTTAATGATTCAACCAATAAATTTTTCCAGCAAACAATCGATTATTGTTTATTTTGAAACCAAAGGTCAATGATCTCAGCACTGAAGAATACTGTATACGCGATCTGAAGATAATTTTACGACAAGAATACGAAAAGAACGTGGGCTTTTTTTTCTGCACGAAAAGTAAGATGTAACGAAAAGTCAACATCACAAAGAGATAAAGTAAAAGAAAGATATACATTAAACACGTGTTGTAAAGTGTAGGTTTTATGTAACAAATAAGAAGCATGTTATTGGGTCATTTAGTATAACTGAAACGGGTGCCGCTTTTATGCCAGTAAAACACACATATACGAAAGAGAGAGAGAGCATCATCTTCCGACTTTCACACCCGAACCAATGGACGCACCCTGTACACAGGTTATACACAGGTATTACCAACACGCGGTGTGTGTGCACCTACGCTTCAATTTAACAGCGTCCAATCGTCGCCCCCGCAGACGGGAAATGGGTTGCGAATCGGAGAATCAGGATTTATTACGCAATTATACATCTTCCTGGCTTACGACTTCCTTTCTGATCCACTAAAGTTCGCCTTTTTTTAAAAAGAATTTTTTGTTCTTTAATGTCTTTTTCTCCGACAAAATATACAGAGAGAGGAGATTCTTTAAAAATGATGAGTCAGAAATTTTGAAAAACTCCTTCTCTAATTCCGTCGAGTGATACAGACATTTCTCGGCAGAGGAAAATTTGTTGTGATTGACCACGCGGTAAAAGTAACGAACAGTGTTAAAATTCGCTTCGTTTGTTTTTACTAAAGCTCGATGCAGTTTTGTATTCGAAAATAGAAATCCGTAATCGCTATTGAATTCTTTATAATCTTTTCAATGTCGAGAGGAAATTAGTAGCAAAATTCTCAACAACCATTTTTGGTGATGTCTTTTTGGGGGGAAATTAATTATCGTAACATTAATTAAATTATGATCTAAGAATATCAAATTGAGCCAACAAACGTTTGTTGGCTTGGAAAAATTGTGTAAGCAACTTAGAAGTAAGGAAAAATGGAAAGCTCTTCGGAAATGATTGTTGCAAGTGAAGCTAAGTAATTTTTTTCTTCTTTGTTGAATTTCAGATTCGCTGATACATACAGCAACGTTTACGAGTTTAGCATTCTTTTTGAGTTCTGGCCTAACTTCAGTGACCGCTGCGCCCTCATACGGTCATCGTAGTAGTATTATTTCCGAAGCGATGGACATGGAACCCTGGGTGCAACCCTGTGGAACACCAGTCGCTGCACCTTTGAGGAAATTACCTCAACGACACAGTGTTCATCGGGCGCTGAAAAGGGTCCGAACACAATTGAGGGTCGCGCAAGAGCACCTTCGCAAGGACATCAAAGACATTCACGAAATTTACTCGAAGGTAATTTTCAATTCTTTCAATTCTAATCTTTTCCCTGGGGCACCTAGCCTAGCACCCAGATTTATACATTTTTAGATTTTAGGGTTTCGTGACCAAGGGGCAAAACTCAGGCTTCTGTTCGTAGGTCCTAACGGCCTCCCATTAGGGGCCGGTACATTACGTCATAGCAACCGTTCCTATGGTAATTGTTACCTTACGAACTGTTACCATAGCAACCGTTACTATGATTTTTGGTTACCTTAGCAACTATTTTCATACAAACCGTTACTATACAATCCGTTACAAACCGTAAACATTCCGCGTAGAAACCGAAAAATGGTAAACGTCTTGTTAATATCCTTAACCCCTTAACTACAATGACGAAGATTTGACGAAGATTTTAACCCAAAAGGGTTAAAATGATTCAATTAATCAAAGAAAACATCCCGATTCGCAAAAAGAAAATACCAATTCAAAGCTCTAATGAGACACTAATGAGAATAAATATTTATAGTGTAATAACAATTTCTATAAGAATTACAATAATTATGTTTGGATAAAACTCAATCACGTTTTGAGTACGCTTTTGAAGGGTGATGATATAATTAGTGAAAGATGTCGACGTCATTGTGCAAATCGTTTCGATTCTCTTGTAGAGTATATGAGAATCATTTGCAAAGAAGTCTTTATTAATATATACATACATATATAAATATATGTGTGTAGTGAATATCAGGTGTCTTCATAAATAAAGGAGATAAGAGACTGTATTATGAGTTTACGTAACATTTTGCACCAGCTTACCATAGTTTTGTAACTAGATGACAGTTATTATTGTTTTGTCTAAAGTGTACACTTCAGTGGCGACATTAAGAGGCGTCAGCACCAACCTTCTTCTTCCCCTGTGGTCCATAGCCATTATCATCATTTTTCTCTTTCTCTCTTCACTTCAATTCACTTCAAAAATTTTTCATCCTCATTTCATAACAAGACGTTTACTCACGTTAATTTCTCATCTTCAAGTTTGTGTGCAAAAAAAATTTTCTTCTGTTTCTATTCTTGCGAAAAAAGGAGTAAATTTAGTTTTTCTTTCTTTAAAATTTTTTTCATTCTTTAGACGAAAGTTTCAGTTAGTTAGTTTTTCTCAATTCAAAAACCCACGAGTATTGTCACAACATTGTGCTAAAATTTTCTACTTTGAATACATATTTGGGAATTACAATGGAATTACAATAAAATAAATTACATTACTCAATGCAATGTTGACATTAGTAAATTGAAAATAGAACGAATTTTACTCTCGATCAGCAAAAAGAAAAGAATGAAGAGAGAAATGACTACTGTGGGAGCGAAAATTCTCTTGGTGGTAATAACACGTCACGTGTTCTTGGAATTGAACGAAGATGAGCCAGATGTTTAGAAATATTGTTCGCTGCGTTAGCTACTTGATGGGTTTGAAATAAATGTACATAGGTGTTATGTGAAGAGATATTGGATCATGTCAAAAAGTTTAAACAAAATTTATATGTATATGTATATTTATGGACTCTCTCATTTCTCTCTTCTAGGTGTACAAAGTGCTGAAGGAGCAGCAATACCGAATGTCCTGGCTACCAGAGAAGCAACTCGATTGGTATCATCGTGAATTATGGTGCTTGGAAAAAAGTAAAAAAGCAGAGAAAGCACTTCCACGATTGCACGATGCACTGCAAAGGTTCGCCATCACATTCTATCATTTGAGGGCCTTTCGTCTCAAATCGAATATTAATGCCGAACTCACAATGAGCAGGAGGAATGAAATTATCGACGGAATGTACAACGAAGTAAGAAGGGTAAGTTACTTTCGGTACAATTTTTATTTTCCTTTTCTCACAAGTTCGAGCCCTGCACATAAACAAACTATTATTATTTTCAAAAATTCAACAAAACAATTTCCAAAAAGAATTTTAATAATATTTTTTTTCTATTCTCTCGATTCACAGACGTTGTGCGAAGTGGAGACGGCAATTTTCAATTTGGGACTACAATTGCCAACGACACACAAGGCAAATATTGTGACGGAGAGTTCGAATTGGGCCGAAGAGGGCGACTTAACGTTGATGTTAATTCAAGATTCGGGTGTTTTGCGACTCTATAGAGATTTTCTCAACGACTGGACGAGAGCTTTTCGTAATGCCACTGCCATTGGACCCGGTACATGTGATCCAAGCATGATAAAGCCCTTAATTTACAAATCGAAGAAACCTAAGAAAGAATTTCAACACAAGAAAAAGCAGAAAAATCCTATGAAAAAACAAAATGGACAGATTAAAAAGAATATTGCCTTCAATCGAAATCGACAATTATTCCAAGGAATGAGATGGGGAATGAGAAGAAGATTGGGTAGCAATAAGCCAAAAAATGAAACTTGAAGAACAATTTTTTTTTCTACTTAATTATATACAAAACTTTGAAAGAGTATTTTTATTGACGTACATTGTTTTTTTTGGAAAAACTCCTCAAAAAAAGAAAAGAAAGGGTACTTAAAAGTATGAAAGTGAATGTTGGTCCAGGACAAAAATTTCGTTTTTTTGTCTATGGTAAAACTGCAATTTGGTAAACAGTATTACGAGATCTTGTTCTGAATGATTAAACAGTATTATAAATGTCGTTTACGATACGAAGTATTTTTTTTTCATGTAGAAAAAAAATAATGATGAAAATACGACTATTAAGGGTCATTTAGTTTTCCAATTGTAATTATTGTGAATTCGCGGGCAATATTTTTCGCAATAGAAAATATTTTGCAGGAAAAAATATTTTTTTGCCTGCTTTTTATTACGGTCAAATTTTAATAAGAGTTCTTTTCGTAAATCTGGTAAAATCTTTTCTTATTCGGCAAAAAAAATCTGGAATAGCTAAAAATTTTACTACATTAGCCAAATTTTTAATTTTAATATTTTAAATTTTGAATTAAATATAATAATTGTTAAATAAAAGAATATAACAATTGTAATATTAAAGACTAATAAATTCTAGTAAATAAATGAATAAAATATAATAAAAATATGAAAATATATAAATTAAATTAAATTACAAAAAAATATTATTCAACACATAGACTGGAAAAAAATTAGACTGAAAACAATATTATTTGATTGCTAACTTGTCTACTATCAAAGAAATATTTACTTGAATCAAATAATTTTTATTGAATTTAATTAAATTTTATTTGAACCAATAATTTTATTATTTAAATACCATTTAATTGATTTAATTAAATAAAAAAACAAAATAAAAATAATAAAATAAATAAAAATTATTTGATTCAAATGAATATTTATTTTATAATAGACAAGTAATCGATTATTTAAATCAAATAAATTTTCTTTTTGTTAATTTGATTTAATTAAACAATTACTTTTCTATTATCAGATAAATATATATATATATATATATAAAATTAATAATTAATTAATTACGTCAAATAATTTTTATTCAAATTAATTAAATGGTATTTTCTTCAAATAGCAAATTTATTTGTTGAAATACAGTTTATTTGATTTAAATAAATATTATTTAATTCAAGTAAATACTTATTTGATAACACACAAGTAATCGATTATTTGAATCAAATTAATTTTTTTCAGAAGAAGTTAATAAAACTTCACCAAAAAGAGCGATAAGTTTCTCTAGAGCAGAGAAAATTTTAACTGAAACAACTAAAAATTTCGCAAAAATAATAAAATTTATAGCTGGTCCAAGTAAAAATTTTTTCTTTGATTTATTCAATAAAATTTGCTTTTTATTTAATTGTAAAATATATTTATTTTTTTATTTACCTCGTTATATATTTAATTCAAACACATTTTTTCGTTCACTATTTTTTGAAAAAAGAACTATTTTTTCGATGACTATTTTCTGGAAAAAAAATAGGTAAAAACTATTTAAAAAATTATATAAAAAAAATACGAAGACACGAAAAAGACTCTTAACAAGCGTTTGATGTTAAAAAAAAATTAGAAATAAAAAAAAAAAAAAATTCGATGGCATTTCAAATGTATAGTACAAGTCTGTATTCTATTATGTAACGCGAAATTCAAATAACAACAACAAATGTATTATATATACAATTCAAAATTGTATTATATATTTTCTCTATTATTTTGTAGTTTCGTAAATTTTAAGGCACCGACTCTCGTGTAATTTATTTATTCATTAAACTTCATCGCACATTTAGTGTTGGAAGCTTGAAGTTGAAAGCTGTGATATGATTCTCGTATGTGGACGTTACAAAGTTCCTACGTTTTCTATTTTTTTTTTTTGAATTTTTTTTATGAGTACTTTTAGCAATATTGTACAGAAAAGATTTTAATAAGTTTTATATGCGTATACATGTATTTTAAAAAATGTACCTACTTTACAAATAGAGGCGGTATACCAACATACGTAAGTTCAGTATTTTTTCATTCAGCATTTTTATTTTATTTTTCATTTTATTTTTTATTTTCTTTATTTTGTTTTTGACTTTTTTCCTTTTTATCTTTTTCTTATATTTTATATTTTTTATTTATTATTTTTACTATTTTTTTTATTTACACTTTTTTATTTCAATTTTTACTTTTATTATTTTAATTTTTACTTTTATTATTTTTATTTTTACTTTTACTGTTTTATTTCTATTTTCACTTTTTTTAGTTTTCACTTTTACTTCTTTCATTTCTTTTTTATTCTCGGCTTTTTGTGATATTTATAATATAAATACAAGTTTCCAAGAAACATTTCTTTTTTTCCAAAATTTCTCTAAGTAGATAATTATAATAAAACAAAAGAGCAAGTCAATATTTGGTAAAAAAATTAATTAAATTATTATTAAAGACCCTATTTTATTAGTTATAAAATTATAAAATCTAAATTGTTACTTTGAAATTATAGACTTTAAATTATTACTTTGAATTTTTAAAAAATAAATTATTACTTTGAAACAAAATCTAAATTTTTACTTTGCAATTATTCCAAAACTTCAAAGTTATAAAATCTAAATTATTATTTTATACCTAGAAAATTTAATTTTTTTTTCGAATAATAAAATTAATTTATATAAAAATATAATCATTTTTGGGAATAACTTAATTCCAAAAATCAAAATTGTTTTAAAAAAAATGTAAAATTTATTGAAATTATTAAAATTATTAAAATTGCATCTCGCTATTTTGAAAATCTAAAATTGAAATTTTATTTATTTGTAATTTAAGAAAAAATGATGTAATAATTAATATTTTTATAAAAGAACAACTTTTTTTATTAAAGGATTTTAAATATTACTATATTTATATTATAATTATTTTTTTATTATACTACATATTATTATTATCTTTATTATTTGTATTTCTTTATTTTTATTATTTTTATTATTTTTATTTCTTTATTTTTTTATTACTATTCTTACTATTTTTAATATTATTATCACTATTATCACTATTATTATAAGGACAATTATACTTGTAATTATATTATTATAGTTGCAATTACTACTTAAAAATTACAAAAAATTTTTAATTACAGTTCAAAAAAAAAATTCAACATTTTTGAATGAAAATCATGACATTTCGAAATATAAAATCTAGGAAATTAATAATTAAGTAAAAATTGCATTTCCGTATAATGTTCAAACTTTAAACAATGAAATCGATAGAAATTGTTAAACAATTTTCCACTGCGAATTTAAATTGTATTTTACACTCCTGTACATTATGACAATATAAGTATTTCGATAAAAGTATTTTTAGAAGGAAAAAAAAATACTGCGGAATTTTATTTTTATAAAAAAAAAATCAATAATTTTTATTTTAAAAAAGTTCCAATTAATTTATATCACAATTTTCGTAAAAAAGCAATAATCCGCAATATTTTGAAAATTTTACTTTGTAAACATTTTATATACTAATTATATATTATATTTATACATACATATATTTATAAATATATAGATGTATAAAAATTTTTACAATTTCGAAATATATATGTATATATATAAAATATATAGAATATATATAGAAAGCACGCATTCCATAACATTATATTATTATTATTTATTCTATCACGTTACCATTGCACATATTATTTATTGCCATTTTTCTTTCTCTCTTTCTCTCGCTATCTTTCTATGTAATCGTTAAAAATAAAACACACACACACATATTTTGCATTAAATGGAATTTTTAATAATCGTTTGTCTTTTATTTTATTTACCTGATGCCTATGTTTATTAAGAGTAATAGGATAATAATTGCTTTGAATAAAAAAAGTAAGAATGAAAGGTGTAAAAAAATTTACAACTGCAATAAAATAGTTGAATTTTACAGATGGAATTTTTTAAACTTTATCCTAAAATTATGTAACTTTCGAGTATTTTTACAGTAAGTATCAGGAAAGCAGAGGAGAGTATTACATTCATGTAACATGGCTGCGTCGATACTATGGAAGCTTGTAACCTACATTATACACGGAAAATATAGATTTTCCCCCATTTTCCAATTTGTCAATTCGCTACAATTATCTGAATGTAAAAATAAGCATTATAATTGAACTTTTCAGCTCGCTTTTCAGTGATAAATTATTTTTTCCGAATAAAAAAATTTTTCCTTACTTTGGAAAATTTCAACCAGTAAACACCGAAAATGAAAAGTGTTTACATAGCTTCTATGTAAATGGAAAAAAAATTAGAGGGTAATTTTTGAGGTTTAGAGGTATCTTCTAATTAAAATTTAGGAACAGAAGGCAACTTTAAGATCTGGGTAAGTTTAGGAGAATTTTTTTTCTTTGAAATTCGAGTAAAATGAGGAAAAAAGTGGAGTAAAGGGGAAAAATATTTCCCTGCAAGCCATGGTGAAAATTTGAAAATACGAGGGAAGTTTTTGAAAAGGGCATGTTGAAGTAACAGGAGGCTACGGTGTGCTGCAAGCTCGCAAGCTCGTTACACCGTTACAGGTGTGCGCAGTCCTGTAAATCGATTTATAACCCCCCCCCCACACTGTATCTTTACTATATCATGGCTTCGTCTATTTGTGCAAAATTTTCCCCTTCAATTTTCAAAATAAAAATATTTTTTGTGCCTTTTTTAAAAGTCTATACTTCGAACAAAAAATAAATTTCTCTTAATTATTAATATTTTCGCCTTTTTTCAAAATCGTTCTTTTTTTAGTTTTTTTATTACAAATTATAATCATTATTGTAATATCAATACAATTTTTGGTCTATAATTAAAAAAATGAATTGTATAATTACTGTAATTATTCTTTAATTACTGTAATTATTGTATATTGTATAATAATATTGTATAATAAATAATAATGATTATACAATTATTATTAAACAACTTTGAGAAAACAATATATTTGAAAATTGAATCAAATATAATTATCTTTGTTATACAGTCAACCAAAAATGATTTTTGAATTAAACATAATAATTTTGATTCAATACATAATTTTGTGTAAGGAAAAAAATGTCTCGACGTATTCTATTTTTTGTAAATAAAATTTTTCTAATATAATTTCCATTTTTTTTTGAAAATAATGTCAGCTGATGTACACCACAATAAATAATTATTATTGTTTATATTTTTTGTTACTCAAAAATATATTCTGAGTAGGAAAAAAATGTTTTGTCATTTTCTAACACCTTAAATTTTTTTAATGATATTTTTTAATGAAATTACCATTTTTTCGAAAATAATGTCAACTGATGTATATTATAGTAAACAATTATTGTTTTTAAAATTTTTTTGTTACTCAAAAGTAGATTTTGAACAAGAAAAAAAATGTTTGAACGTTTTCTACCCTCTACATTTTTTTAAATTAAATTTTTCTATGAAATATAAACAATTATAATTGTTTAAATTTTTTTTTGTTTGTCAGAAATAGATTTTC